TAGTCTTTCAAAAAGTTTTTCGATGTACTCTCACTAAGAAGATATATTTAGCGTGAGAAGAAATTATCGCGTTACAACGAAGACGAAATAACTCGTCCTTTATTTACTTAATTCAATTGTTTAGAGCGGGATGGAAGCAGCAAATAATACGAATTAAGTATTTTATTCGAATTCGGCATTTAACTTGACTATTAAACGTTTTAACATTCCGGTTAAATAAAAGACACGCAATATCCGTGTTAGATATTTTTCTTTTAAGTAAGGTAGGTTTACAAACAGTCACTAATTAATTTCGATTATTCTATGGCAGGTGTCCACAAAATAATCGAGATATTGCTGTTGAAAAAAAAAACTAAAATCTCTATTAGTTTCATTATTTTTAAATAATATAGCTATATTATTTTTAAAAAAATTAATACTGATAATAAATTCCTTACTTTAGCTAATAATTTCATTAAAGCTTGTGATTAGAGACGTAGACATTTTCTTAAAACTATTCAGGGGTCCGTTTAGAAGAAATTTGGGTCCGTTAACAAGCCCTTCACATAATATCTTTTCATAAAAACGGACCCTTCACAAAATATTTTAACTTAAAAACGGACGCTTCACATAATATTTTAACTTAAAAACGGACAACCTTCACAAATTTTTTTATCTTCATTATTGTTTTCTTAATCGAATAAACCCTTCCCAGAGGGGAAAAAAAAAAGAAAGACGGATGAAAAAGAAAAGTTTTGTCTTCGGCAGACACATCTTCCATTATTCGTACGAAATGAATATTCTGCGTTCAGCAGTATAGGCTAAATATCAAATGTTGCATCTCTAATTTAGAAGCAGCGATTGCTGTTTATTTTTGAAAATGTAATTTTTTTATTATAATTTTACAGTGAGCATAATCTTGTATCTATTTACAATTTAAAAACTCCTAGAAAAAATTTTTCGCAGTAACCGGACCCTATTTGCGCAGATTCAAAAAAGCAGGAACCTGGTTGAAAGAATGTGACTTAACGTTTATATTATATTCGCAAATTACGAGAAATTTTTTCACAATTTTACAAAAACAGGACCTTTCACAAAATGTCTGGTCAGACCCCTGCTATTAACAAGTTAGAGCTAATAAGTGCTATGCTATAGTTTTTCATGTAATATATGTTTTAATAAAAATAATAAATTGTGTAGTTGTAGTAATCCATTTTTTGCACTGTATATTTATAGATCTTAGACATTAATAGATCTTAATTAAAATGAAGCATAAAATAGTGGTTACTGAAAATAATTACCTCTTTTTTTAAAATAATAATAATAAAAGAGTTTCTTAAGAGAGTAACTTGAATATTAAGGCGGAAAAACACAGTAAAATTTTCAAAAAACGAAAAAAAATTTATTGCCCTTTTCTATACATCCTTTTAAGATTATTGTATCAAAATATTGAATTAAGATTATTGTACCAAAATATTGAATTGATTTTAGTATAAATGTAAAAGCTACAGCATAACTTGTCGACTCAGTCGTGAAATTCCGCGCTCAGTTGATATCACTCCTATGAAAACATTTTAGTCTATTGTTTTATTGAAATAATTTTTTTGAATTATGTTAGGAAAAAAATTAATGGTACTTTGAATAGTTGAAATTGCTACATATTTATCTGCAATAATTTTTAATGAAGGTCGCGAAGGGAAAATTATTACACAATTAGATATATACTTAGGGCCAGCAATAAAATAATATGCTCAAAATGAAGATAACCACATAATTTCGGCTGTTACTCAAAACATATGAGGGAAAATCGACAATGGCTAAGACTAGCACTTGAGATTTCTGAAAATGATAGTCATGATAGTTAGTGGCAAAATTTAACATGCTGACATTATCACAAAACTATAAACGTAATCAATCTACAGGAAACTATGCTACTCTTACTTGCTATATCTCTAAATAGCTCAATTTTCAACAGATTTACTTCAAATTTTGACACAATGTACACAGCAAATTTGGTTTTCTTTCTTACACGTAAAGATTTTCTTAATTGGGTCGCCAAGTTTCCTTTTTTCGCAGATTTCATCTTAAGCAGCCAATTTATAATTAACTGATTCAAAGAGAAGTATTTACTCTACATTAACAATTCTCAAATGAGTGGGGACGTTCTTAAACACTGGTGTGGAAAAAATATGGACGAAATTGTTTTTCGAATGTAAGTGTGAACAGCAGTGTTGAAAATTGATAAATCATACCATAGAATCCCAAAAATATAAGAATATAGAAAACTTGTAAAAAAAAGTAATCCACAGGAATAATAAAAAACTTGGGTTGAAATATAGGCATAAAACACAATTGTACAAAAAGTCAATGTGACACGGGATTGGCAAGGAAATTCCAGCCTTTAGTATGAGACACTTCTGACTGCTATGCAGGAATGACAATGCTGAGGATGTTAAGAAGCTCTTGAGGAATTGCTACCCACTCCTGTTGTAGTGCTAATAGCAACTGCGGAAATGTTGTGGCTGCGGGGCGTGCTGCCAAGCATACGTGTTCAGTCAGATTTAATTCCGGGGACCTCACTGGCCATTCCATATTCACTGGCAGCTTCACTTTCTTCTGTGACAGCCACTGTGCGATAAGGTGCAGCATTATCGTCCATGAAGATGAATCAGGACCCATAGGAATGACGCACACGAGGACACGTAGAACCTCCATACAATAGCGGGCACTACTGATGGAACCACCTTGGAAGATATGTAGATCAGTAAGGATACCTCCCCTTACAAGAAATCCGCCCCGTCCATATCGGTATGTATGCGCTCAGAACTACCGGTCAGACTAAATCTCTTCTCACTCGTAAAGAGTACTCGACCCTATTGCACATCTGTCCAGTTGTTGTGTTCCCTACACCACATTAAACGGGTCACCGCTGAACCGGCGTTAATAGAACACATCGTACTGGCCGTCGTGCAAATAGACTACCCTTGTTCAGTCTCCTGAACATGGTAAAACGCAATATCAGGCATCAAATACTTAGCTGTTTGCGTCTAGCAATTTCTCCTGCGGTCACCGGTTGTCCGCTGTACGAGGACGACCTCAACTAAATCTCCGGACAGCTCTTCCTGTCCTCTAAAATGTGCTCCAAGCTCGTGAAACGATACTGCGGGGGATCCCGAATTCCGCAGCCACACATCAGCCTTCTTCCAACTTTCCAACCATTCGACCACGAGTACTCATCCAGATTGTCGTCTTCTGTGTTGCCTGTTGGCCATAACACACTGTTACAACAAATTCACTTCGTATAATGATTTTACCATCCGTTGTAAATCGCCGTTTTGTTGTTCTGCTAGTTTTTCCACTTCGTCCTTAATTTTTGCACACCAGTGTATCAGCTGATACCTTGTCTTATTTTCTATTTATGTACTTATTTCTTTTTAGTAAAAATGATCCCGCTTGTTCCAATTTGGGGAGAAATTTGCATTTAATCAATCAGCCTTTTAAAGAGATTTTTTGAAACTCTTTTGACCAAGGGGAATAATAATAATAAAATTTGAAGAAGGTGCTCTTGATGTAAAGCTATAATTTTAAACAATATATGAGAAGAATTATCTGGGAACTAGAACAGGCAAATAACTTTATTTTGAAAATAATTAAATTTCTTTCTTACTCGCTTATTTGGAAACATTTCTCCACCTAGATTAAAATTATCAAAATCAATGCTTAATTCAATTTTTTTTTTTTTTTTTTTTTTTTTTTTTTTTTTTTTTGCAAATTTTCATATGAGCCAAAATGACACTCTGCATTGGAGTCTGTCTTTAAATACTAAAAAATTACCACAAACGCGTATCTTTTTCTCAAATTTATAGTTTTCGATATTGACATTTTACACCATTTTCAGAATAAGTATAGAGGGCTATCGCTGAAGATAGACTGAACTTGACCTAACCTAACAGTCATGCGTAACTGTTGCTAACTAACAGCAGTATTGAAAATAGCATATTATTCGTAAAAAATCATCATGCTATGCGACATCAGACTTAGAAAAACAGCCTCTAGCGAACGTGAGAATCGATAATCTTTGAAAACTCGTTTTAAAATAATATCATTATTTTCTTCCATCCGGCCTTAAATTTATAATTTTTTTAAACTCGTCATACGACGCAACTATTAAAAAAAAAATAATAAAAAATAAACAAAAAAACTACTCTACTGCTGTCAAATGGGAAATAAAATAGCAAGGATAACAAGATTTTTGAGATTAAGAAGAATGCTAAGTAAACACCGATAACAGTAGTATAGATTTTAGCATTACGGGACCAAAACTTGCAACTTTCGTTGTTAGACAACAACTTCCGTTAACAACAACAACAACAAAATCCAATCTAAGATAGAAAATAGATTATTGCAAATGACGCGTATTTGTAACTTCCAAAAAAAGTAATAATTATCAGTACGTCATCAGCATAAATGTAGATTACCAGCTGGATCATGATAAATTTAAAATGAGAGAAAAACAATAGATAAACAAATAATTTCGTAAAGACAGTTTCATTTTTAACGCATTTTATTTGTATCTTTTATTTAAAAAAATAAAATTAAAAAAAAGCTTAGGAACTATTCAGAGAATAAGAGACTTTCATAAGATAACTTTTATATCATATGCTTTAGACTCAAATTGTTATAAAATACATTTTTTAAATGTAATTCGAATCAGAATTATTGTAATTTAGTTGAGTTTTAATTAATGAGTTATGAATCAAATTGTCGTAACTGAAAGTAAGTTTAATAATTCAAAGTAGTAGAAATTCGCTTACAGCCGCTAAATTTGGGCTTAACAAAGTAAAAAAAAAAGTTTAGAATATTTAAAATATCTTTTAATAATTTGATGATAATAATATTTTCTTGTAAACCAATTTTTTTTTTACATGACAACGAACTCAATATTCTCTGATAAGTCGCGAGAATTCGTAAGCAACAGTATAAAGAGTAAGGTTTTTAGAATCTTTTTAGAGATATCATACCTGAGTAGATTGCTGAGATGGTGGAGGAGGAGGAGGTTGTTGCTGAGGAGTTGCAGGTTGAGGCATTTGTTGCTGCTGCAAAGGTGTTGAGGGGTGAGGCGATTGCTGTTGAGGCTGTTGTTGCTGAGGAGAGGTTTGTTGAGAATTAGATGGAGGTTGCTGAGGTGATGGTTGCTGTGCAGAAGAGGGTGGTGGTCCTCCATAAGAACCCATCTGGGGTGGCCTTTGCTGCTCATAGCCACTAGCAGGTGACATCTGTGATGACTGCGATGGTCCATGCTGTGGGCCTGGATATTGCTGTATGCCCTGAGAAGACAAAAAGAATATTCCAATTAGATCAAAGAAACGGAAGATCGATTTAATGTTATGTTAAGGATTGTGAGAGTAAAAATGCCTCTAATTTTGTAACTATTTCTTATAACATTTCGTTTCAGATTTTCTAGTTCTTTCGTGTTCTACATAGACATTGTTAACACTGCTGTTCTACATAGCCATTTCGTACGACCTACCTGATCGTTTGAAAAGATTGTACTAATAACATAGTAAAATAATAATAATTTTTAAAAAGTAAGCCCTTCACTTAAAAGCAGCCTAATTTATCTTGTAAACTTTTTATCGTGAATTATTGATTTTCTATTGGCTGAAACAAAAAAAATTTTTAAATACATTTCAAAGACTTTTTTTGTAAAGAAAATTGATGGCTACCATTAAAAAATGTTTATCGACGGTCTTAAAAGCTTCGCAGTTAAGCACAACATATGCATAGAATGCATTTAAAAACAAAAAATTCCCCACTGTAATTTAAGCTGGAAACTAACTAACCTGTTGGGACACATAGGTTATTTGTATATATTCTCTTAGATTCCTCAAAAAATCAATCTGAATGACATCGAAAATTGTTAAATACCCAATGATTGTAATGAAACAATAGAAATGCAACATAATTTGTTCTCCGACAACTTGGGCCAAAGAAGCTTTCCAAAATAAGACTGTTTATTAATTGAAAACATCCAGGAACTATTTTTTTATATACACGAATTCGGTATTTAGACCATGAAAATCGAAAGAGAAGCGTATTGTGACGTCACTTAAAAATCAATTGATCAATCAGAACAAAAGCAGCTGTCAGTTTACTTCGATAGTGTTCATCCCTGTTTCTTTTGAGCTAAAAAGCTTTACAATTTCTTTTTTACGAACGCAATAATTTTTTTAGATTATTTAGTTTTAATTATACAGGAGCATGATACTTCATCTTCAGTAATTTTTGATATTTTCGTATGCAATTCTGAAAATCTTTCTACTCCATAAAAAATTTAAATTTTCATCCAACTTTTTAAGAATTGCTATACCACTAAAAAAAATTTGAAAATTTTCTATAAAAACTTGAAGATATTTTTCGCTTAGTTAATTAAACGCTTTTTGCTTCCTGGTTATTAGGATATTACTTTTGTATAAGATTTACAAAAAAAAATAAATTTTTTTTATTGTATTCTTTATGTTATATATATTCACTGAAACAGAGACACTTTCTTTATGAAATAAGAACAGAGTAATCTACAGAAACAGAACATAATTATTTGTTGCTTAATTTATTTTAAATTATTATAATTACAATTAATCAAGGTTTTGGTCGAAGGTCGAATCAAAAACCAAATATTTACCAGCACAGTCATAAAATAAAACGTGATCAACATATAGCTTGATTTTTTTAAAGAGCCTATTTTTAAATTAAAATATGTTTTTAAAGATAACAATGAAATCAAGAACATTAACACCAATTGTAAAAAAAAAAATTTCTTCAAGCCTTGATGTTAGCGACTGCGAGAAGTGCGATGATGAAAACGAAAATGGAAGTACGAAAGCGTTTAGAAAAAAAGGGTGTAAAATAAAATCTATTATTATTAAAATTAAGACCAAATAATTTTTAGAGATTAAAATTAAAAATGCTTAACCATTTCGAATCATTTTGTGAAAAGAAAAAAAAAAATGGCATCGAATAGCATGATCTTTAAAGCATCGAAACAAAACTTGAAAGAGAAATGGATTCGGTCCAGACTATATATTCAGTTTTTTAATGTTCAGTACTAAGGCAATCTTCCACACATTAACAAATGAAATTGTTTTTATAGTAAACTATATAACTTATTAATTTGATTTAATAATAATAATAAAGAAATAAATAAAACGAAGTTTTAAAAAAATTTATGCTTCTTCCACATTAAGAAAATATGACTCCGCAAGAAAAAGAATTTTTTTTCAAAAAAAAGTTAAGAAGTTGAGTAAAATGTATAAAAACAACAAGTATTAGTAGCGTTATCCCTTCATTAAAAATTCGATATCATTAAAAAAAATACTAAAAAATAAGTAATCATTATAATATTTGATTTTTTTTTTATTTTGTTGTTAAAAAATGAGGCCTCTGGCAAAGGAATTTTCCTTTCCAAAGGGAGGGAGGGAGGAAAAGGTGATGGGAGGTGCCGAACAATTCATCACTTTATAAAAGAAGGTGCCACGTGATTGTGGAAACCACGTGCTTTAAAAGTGAGTTTTTGTTTTGATTTGAAGGGATGACGTCATGGACAACAAGATTCTATTATCAAGGTTCTTTTTTAGAGAAAGGAAACATCTGAAGGTATCATTAACAAGATATAAGCTAGATCTACGGAACCCTAAATAATCAACCTGCTTTCGGCGGAACTCCGAATTCATGAATGATGCTTAATTTTCAAAATATGTATTTAATTGGAGGAATGACGATTTTTTACCGTTTTATCATTAATATTTTTAAATTAGGATTTATGTCCGACAAATATGCAATATTTAATAAATGCTTATTCTTTTCATAATTTGTTCAATTATTAGAAAAATTGTTGTTAGAAATATTATATACGATTTCTTTCAAAAAATGCCCATTCATTTGCATTCTACTTCAATAATTTCATAAAGGCAACCAAAAGAGTAAATAAATTATGGATTATAAGTTGTATCTAAATCAGAGTGCGTAGCCAAATCTTTCAACAAAAAATAAGCACCTTTCAAGTACTTTTTAAGCACTCAGGGGTCTGTCCAGACAATTTGTGCAAATAGGGTCCGTTATTGCAAAAAAAAACTTTTTCAAGGAGTTTTTAAATTGTAAAGACATACAAGATTATGCTCAACACTGTAAAATTTTAATTAAAAAAATAAAATTTTAAAAAATAAACAACAATTGCTGCTTCTAAATTAGAGATGCAACAAATATTTGGTATTTAGCCTATACTGAACGCGGAATAATGGAAGACGAATAATGGAACGAATCGACGAATAATGGAAGAATCGTCTGCCGAAGACAAAACTTAATTCGTTTACATCCATCTTTCTTGTTTTCTGCCCTGGAAAGGGTTTATTCGATTAACAAAATAATAATGAAGATAAACAAATTTGTGAAGGGTCCGATTAAAAGAAAAATCATTTTGTGAAGGGTCCGTTTTTAAGTTAAAATATTTTGTGAAGGGTCCGTTTTTATGAAAAGATATTTTGTGAAGGGTCCGTTAACGGACCCAAATTTCTTCTAAACAGACCCCTGGCACTATTAACAAAATGCAAAATAATTTTCAAAGACTTTAAATAAAATAACTCATGATAAAATAACACTTTTCTGACAAAGAACTCTTTTCTGGATTATATTAGAAATTATAAAAATGACCATGAGATTTTTCGGTTCGATATCAGAGGGTGCAGAGTTGTACATGAGACTCACCAAACCCAGCTCAGTAGACATGCAGACTCGCAAGCATTTAATCAAACGTGTAGAATTATTGGACCGAAATAGATTGTTGTTGAATGAATTGTGAAAATGTTGAATAGAACAATATATGAAAAGCACGCTTTTGCATAATACGTGCCGAAAATCGACGTGGTAAAGAGAAAAATCTCATCTTCGAAAAGGGAAAATTAAGAACTTTATAAAAACACCCAATGAAAAGGGCACCAATAAAAGCTTTTAAGAAACGAAAATCAAAAATAAGCACCTTTAAACATTTTGTAAAAACGCTACGCACCATGTAAATATATCTTTCAAAACTCATCACAGGTTATAAAAAGTATGAACTAGTGAAATCCTTTTTATTGTTCCACGGAACACTAGTTTCAATATAACTTTGAGCTTAAGTCATTGTTTTATTTTTCCTACATTGTTTCTTAAGTATATACCATTATTTTCGTAGCGATGCATACTTCAATAAACATATTTTTAAAAAAGCGAAGTAGGAAAAAAAATTATTTAATAGGACGGTTTTTTGGTCCAGGGAATCTGATATTGGGGCATAATTTTAACAAAGAAGTGTTAATTAACCAAACCACTATATGGCAAGTTGACTACAGTCTGAAAAAAATTTAAAAAGTGGTATAAGGTATGGTAAATTTTATATGCTTAAATTTCACGTCAATTCCGTTGGTATTTTTGCTACACAGATATTTAATTTACAAATATTGGGGCAAAGTTGTTGGAATAAGCATACGGCATTCAGAGATTTAAAATTATCACATCAAGTCATAGATAAAAAAAATTCCAAATCTCATTATATACAAAATATACATATGGAGTCGTGGTGGCACAAGGGATAGAGCGTTAGTCTCCTAATGAGATGAACCAGCTTCAAATCCTGCGGTGGCTGGTTAATATAAAATCCGCACCCGGACCACAGTGCTGACGTGAAATTTCCTCAGAGGTAGAATGGATCGTGGGTTAGAGTCCCTTTGCCGCCAAACTAACCGTGGGAGAATCTCGTGGTCTTTCTCTCTATGTAACGCAAATGCGGGTTAGTTCCATCAAAAATTCCTCTACAAAGGCAAATTCCTCCGAATACTTGATCCAGGAGTTCCTTTGTTTTCTGGATTGGGTTCAAAATGACAGGTCTGCGGATTCGTAGTCGTCATCCCACTAATTGGGTCAACGAGGGTTATAAAATAAAAATGGATCATATTAAAAGAGTATGTTACCTGTTGAGGAGGATAGTTCTGCCGGACTGAGGGAGGAGGCGCGGCTTGTGATTGAGACTGACTATAAGGATGGTACTGCTGGGAATATTGACCTTGAGGGGGACCACCTCCTCCTGGCTGCTGCCCACTGTATGACCTTTTCATTGAAGGATCAGCCACTGGACCACCGCCACCACCCTAGGAAAAGAAAACAAAATAATAAAGGTTTGATCATTATGGTTAGTTAAAACATCAGCCATTATTAAATCAGTTAATTTCTTTCTTTTCTTAGTCCCTCCCCTTTAAAAAAAATAAAAAAAAGTTTTCCCTTCACATTTATATGGTGTCTTTAAGATCAAGTTCTATAAACCAATTTAATGTCCCTCAAAAATTATAAATCAAAAAATTATTTTTTAAAAAAAATTGAAATGTTTTGAATACTATGTTACTCTTTCAGGTATAAATAAATCACCTGTTCTTAGAAAACTCCACTTAAAATAGATGAAAGGAAGAAAAAAATACAGAAATGTCCTGATAATCGGATATATTTAGAAAAAAAAAGATATTTGATAGTAAAAATTGTGTTCCCCCCCCCATAAGATGACTGTAAGTTTTGAACAGTTTTTAACAATTAAATTTTGATATCTCCAGTTACATTATAAATTTAAAAAAATGTATCGAAAACCTTAATCTTAATATTAATTCTTAAAATTTATTAGTATTTCAAAAACCCGAACTTGAATTCGTATTTCTAAACACACACAAAAATCAGGAACATCATGACAAAAAGGCAAATAAGTATAAAATATTTTGTTGCAGTAAGGGCAAAAGCGAACCCTGGAATATATTTTTTCAATTAAAGACAAATAATATAATCCACAGAGAAAAAAACAATCGACACGCTAACATTTTTATTCAAAGAGAATTGTGGGCTACTTTTGCCCTTAAAAAAGAATATTGTATTACAGTGGGTTTCTTCTCACTGTAATAACCAAAAAAGCAACCTGGTATTTTACAGAGCTGCCAGAGAGAAATTCCTCACTCTTCCATAAATAGAATAATTAAAAACACGATACTTAAGAGTCATGAAAATAATTGAAATGGACAACAAATTGGTGTCCGGAAGGAGACTCTGAATAAGATCCTTGATCACCGGAGACGCATGCCTTCGTGTTGGACTGCCTTGCCGCTCACCTCCATAGACTTAAGATCTTTCCTGATCCAAACTGCGGGGAGGACTCCCCAATGAATGCTGAGCATCTGCCCCGCAGTTGCTGGCAACATCTGTAACAGATACTGGAAAGCTAGGGAACAGTTGCCGGCACTGCTAACTGGTTAATTTTTTGTTCATGTTTATATTTCTATTGTTGATATTCTATTTAATCTTTCTTAGTTCTAATTGTTTTTGCATTTCGAATGTTTTAATGTTTTCAAATTGATTTTTTCTTATTTGTTGTTATTCTACATGGGTCTGTGAGAAGTGTTTTTACACTCCAGAGAATGATATACACAAGTGCTGCTGCTAGAAATAAAAAAATTTTAAAAAAATAATAAATAAATAAAACATTTTTATTCAATGGTTGATAATTAAAAAAAAGAAAATTAATTAAAAAAAAACTTTCAAAATAATAATGCAGTAAAATGAAAATGCTCATTGATATAATATGTATCTAAAAATCAGTTATAAGCAGATTTATTTCTTCTTTGTAAGCTTTAGATATTTTATTCAATTATTATATCTTTTCTATCATGCACTTATTTACTTTACTTTCAAGTAAAAATAAAATTTAAAAAAAATCAAAGCAAACAAAATTATATATTATTATACATTATAAACAAAATTAAGGCTTTATTAAATATTATCAACAAAAATACTCAAATGAAGGAATTTTTACTTAAGAAGAATTACAGCTATTTCACTTTCGACCAGACTTTACATTTCCTCAAAACTCATGCGTTTTCTGAATTACTTTAAATCTTAATTTTTACTACCTAAATTTAATTGCTTTTTTTTTGTCGAGTTTTTTTAAAATGAAACAACGAGGGTCTCCCTTTGTAAACTTTGCAAATTCGAACATTATTATAAACATTATCTTAACACTATTGTAAATTTATTCTAACATACCTTTATTTTTGTATGAAATTTTTTTTTCTCAGTGAAATTTTTTTCTGTATGATCTAGTCGAAAATGTTCTCATAATAAAAATAACTTTCATTGCTAGTAATGTTAAATGCATGTTTTTATTAAATTCAAGTTGAAATTTAACTACGGGCAATGTTTTTTATGGAATTTTAAAATTGGATGCTATTTTAAGCCCACAATTTTACAATAGCAAAATTATCCTTCTCATGTGGGAAAAATTATACAGAAATTTACCTGTCATAAATGATTTTTATTTGAAGTGACAATTATTGAAAATATTTTTTTAATTTACAATATTTTTGTATTGATATTTTAATATAATTTTTAATTTTCACAAAATAGGTACCTCCCCCCCCCAAAAAAAAACAAGAGGAACCCCCTGACTAAAAATAAGAAGTGCTTTATTTATTTAGGACTTTGATAAACAACGATGGTTATCTTTCAGTTTTAGTAGCAATCAACGAAGAGAAGACATTAATTCGTGTATATCTAACTTTATTGGCTGCAAATGAAAAATTGCTAAAGAATTCCAATGTGAGATGAAGAAAAAACTAAAAGAATCTTAAATTATTTCCAGCGGGGCCAGAGCCTAGAACTTTCCGGAGCTGTGTTTTCCCTGGAGCAGGACCGGAGCTCTAAATTTTTTCATGCTTCAGCAATTTCATTATATCCTACCAAGGGTTTGTCCAGACATTTTGTAAAAGGTCCGTTTTTGTAAAATTGTGAAAAAATTGCTCGTAATTTGTGAATATAAAATAAACGTTAAGTCACATTCGTTCTACCCGGGTCCACTTTTGTGAATTTGTGCAAATAAGGTCCTGTTATTGCAAAAAAACTTTTTCAAGGAGTTTTCAAATTGTAAAAAGATACAAGATTAAGCTCAACATTGTAAAATTGTAACAAAAAAATTAAATTTTAAAAGATAAACAGCAATAGCAGCTACTGAATTAGAGATGCAAGATACAAATATTTGGTATTTAGCCTATACTGCTGAACGCAGAATATTCATTTCGGACGAATAAAGGAAGAAGCGTCTGCCGAAGACAAAACTTAGTTCGTTTACATCTGTCTTCCCCCCCCCCCTGGGAAGGGGTTATCCGATTAGCAAAACAATAATGAGGATAAACAAATTTGTGAAGGATTCGATTAAAAGACAGGGGTCTGTCCAGACATTTTGTGAACGGTCCGTTTTTCGTGAAATTGTGAAAAAATTACTCACATTCTTTCAACCAGGGTCCGCTTTTATGAATTTGTGCAAATAGGGTCCGTTATTGCAAAAAAAAACTTTTTCAAGGAGTTTTTAAATTGTAAAGACATACAAGATTATGCTCAACACTGTAAAATTATAATTAAAAAAATTAAATTTTAAAAAATAAACAACAATTGCTGCTTCTAAATTAGAGATGCAACATACAAATATTTGGTATTTAGCCTATACTGCTGAACGCAGAATATTCATTTCGGACGAATAATGGAAGAATCGTCTGCCGAAGACAAAACTTAATTCGTTTACATCCATCTTTCTTGTTTTCTGCCCTGGAAAGGGTTTATTCGATTAACAAAATAATAATGAAGATAAACAAATTTGTGAAGGGTCCGATTAAAAGAAAAATCATTTTGTGAAGGGTCCGTTTTTAAGTTAAAATATTTTGTGAAGGGTCCGTTTTTATGAAAAGATATTTCGTGAAGGGTCCGTTAACGGACCCAAATTTCTTCTAAACAGACCCCTGAAAGATATTTTGTGAATAGACCCAAATTTCTTCTAAACAGACCCCTGCCTACCGACATTCAAAATGTGTGCAGCATTGTCGCATGCGAACATATAATAAAATTTCTGGAGCTTAGCTTATTATCTAGAAGCAAAGGCATCGAAAATTTCTCTGATTCTCTCAGACGCGTGAAATTATATTTGGTTAGTAGAATCAAGGCAACAGAATCATGGAAACAATTTTACCTTGTCCCCCAGTCGGGTTCAAAATTGGCTCAATATGGATGCCATGTGAACATGCACCGGGGAACCAATATTGGGATATTTAGATTCTTTAATATTGGTTTTATATATAGTCACATGGTCTACATTGGGCCCTGTATATTATATATAATGGATATAGGTCCTAGGCTTAGGAGTCGGTCTTAACGCAGTTTTTGAAGCTCTGTTGCCGAGGAAAATAAAATAAAAAGCCATAGTTTTAGTGCCTTACACTTGAAGCAATGTGATGAGTGATTAACTATAGATATAATCTTGCTTTGAAGAATTATCTAGGCTCTAGAACAGAAAAATAACTTAAATATTTTAAAAGTTATTAAACTTTTTTAAAAAATCTCTTATTTGGCGACATTTTTCAATTTAGATGAAAAATATCAAAATCACTGCCTCATTCTCAGTTTTTACATATTTTTAGCATTGGAGTGAGTTATTAAATATAAAAAAAATTAGACCACAAATGCTTTTCTCCTTATTGTGCCATTTGCAGAGTAAACATAGAGAGCGCTGGCTTTAAATAGGCTATACTTAATCTAAGAGTCATGAGTAACAGTTGCAAATTCACAGCAGTTATAAAAATAGCGTATTATTCCCATAAAAAGCATCATTTCATAATACGACGGAGCCTTCGAAAGACAGCCTTAGAATAATGAATATGAAATATCGGGTGAATCGAACAGTTATAGGGCCAATATCCAAAAACAATGGCCCTTTGAACTCTTACTGAGCCAAGGATTGTAAATATTGGCCCGATGAGGGCCCAAGTTATTTCGCTGCAAAGGAATCTTCAGGTATCTATTCCATCACATAAAACTACGGGTAACGAAATAGAAAATATTAATAATATAAAATTCACCTATGCTTTAAAACAAGTTGTTTCTCGCAATGTTCTAATTTTTTATTTAATTATTTACGATTTTTCATTATTTACAGAACGGACACAAATTCTCAGGAATAATAAATAAATAACCTGACTTTTTCATGAATTTTTTTTAAAAACTGATTTAAAAAAAATTTCCAGAATGAACTCATGGCATGAAATTTATTTATTTTTTTTTTTCGTTTCTGCCA